TACTGCTAAAAAATGTTTTAATGGAAGGATTCTTCAAGAACTGCCTTGGGTGTCTTTATTAAAACCAATTAGAACATTGATATATTTCCCTAATTATTACCAACATCAAGGTCTTCTTAGGAGGGCAGCGTCCTATTAATTTTCATGGGAGATTCCTACTAAGAGCCTACCACTGAATACATCAATCAGTTCGCTAAATTTTAGAAGCATTTTATAAAACAAAACAAAAACCACTCTGAATACACCTTTTCTAACCTACACATTTAGAAATTCAGAAATAGGTATTTAAAATAAAAAGCAAAGATCAAATTTTGTGTAATATGTTGTTTAAGGACATGGTTATACTATGTTATTGATGGTTAGTGATGAACTGTTGTAATTACCTCTTGTTCATTTTTGCTTTGGCCATTGATAAAGAATCCTTTCTCTTTCTTTCTTTTTTGGAGTTTCTTTTTCTTTTCTTTCTTTCTTTTTTTTTTTTTTTTTTTTTTGCAGTCTACTTCTCAATGCTACCAAAATTTAAATACTCATGTTAAGGCTATTGTGTCTATTCGTATAAGTGTGCCTAAATTTGGCTTGCAGCCTTCTCTTAGGTAAAATTGTAGACAGTAGGAATGAAAGTCCTCTAACTAAACATTCAGGGCTCAATCCCAGCTCCTTCACTTGCTGACTCTGTAACCTTGGACAAATGACTTAATTTTGATGTGCCTCAGAATACCTACCTGTAAAATGGGAATAGCAATAATGATCCTTTTACGGTTTTTGTTAAGATGTGATGACTAACTCATAGAAAACACATCCAAGAATATTAGGTAGATAACACCTGACAAATATTACCTATTATTAGTATTTTCATTCTAATCCTGTTATTAGTATACACTGAGTTCCAATAGTAATTTACTTCCCTCATTTAGCTGGCTTCTAAGTTATTGCTTTTCATCACAATGTCCATATAATTTTCTTATGAAATTCAAACCCAAATAAATGGCAAGAGTTAGGACTGTTCACTGGTTAAGAACGTGGACTCTAGGGCCTGATGCCACGGGTTCAAATGTCAGGTCTGCTCTTTACCATAAGTGTAAGTCTGAGTAAGTTGTTTAATGTATCTGGGACTCAGTTTTCTCATCCATTAAGAGATGAACATACATGGCACCTATTCATAAGATTTGTATAGAAATTAATAGGTGAGTTACTATTTGTAAAGCTTTTAGAGCAGTAGTTAAGAGAAATAACTTGCTAGATAAATTTTCATTATAAAATATATGAATATTTTTTAAAAAGATTGTCTTAAAATTCATCTTATACATACCTAAGATTAACCATTAAATAACTTTCTGTATTACATATAGTCATATAAGCATTTAAAATAGTGGGCCATTGCTCTTAAAAGCAAGTTGATTCAATATATTTTCCAAAAGAAGAAAAGAGATAATTTCATCTTTTTAACAGATTGAATGTTATTGTTTATTGATCATGTGGAAACCCTTAAATTCATTAGCATTAAGCTAGACATTTTTTATAAAAGAAAAAAGTTGTCATCTTGTTTCAACACTTTTAGTGTTAGAAATAATTGTGCTTTACAGCAAAATGGCAGCCAGAAGAAAGAGGTGAAGAAATATCAACTTTAATTAAACCCTTTCTTTCAAATACACTTCACGGCTTATATGCAAGAATAATTTATCACTGTGTGAATGAGCATTTAATACTTGGCATGGTGCAAGATGGGCAGGGATCTTGCCTCACCATATGCTGTTTCCTTTTTCTTTCTTCTTCTGGAGTTTCCACAGAGACAATGTCAAGTTTGGAGTTGAAATGTGAGATTCAAATGATATATTCAAATTTTATGGATGGCCTGCTTTGTGCTCAGGTGCCAGACATGTAAATGTGAATAAGATATAATCCCATTCATTCAGAAGCATCCAGTTTAGTAAAGAGACAGTGTATGAATCAGAAGAAATGCCCTCTCAGTAGCTCATTGAAACTCTTAATTGTGAATATGAAGCTGGGAGCCACTTGTAGAAAACTTTACACAGACTTCATTTTATGGAAGGAGAGAGGCTGGGCATGGTGGCTCACGCCTGTAATCCCAGATCTTTGGGAGGCCGAGGTGGGCAGATCACTTCAGGTCAGAAGTTTGAGACCAGCCTAACCAACATGGAGAAACCCCGTCTCTACAAAAAATGCAAAATTAGCGGGCATGGTGGTGCATGCCTGTAATCCCAGCTACTCAGGAGGCTAATGCAGGAGAATCGCTTGAACCCAGGAGGCAGAGGTTGTGCTAAGCCAAGATCATGCCACTGGACTCCAGCCTGGGCAACGAGAGTGAAACTTTGTTTCAAAAAAAAAAAAAAAAAAAAGAGTGAGACAGAACCTGTAAGAGTTCCACGGCAAGTTAGTGCCCCATTCTCCACCAAATCTCAAGTTTCCTGACTTCTGCCCAGAAATCTTCCTGTTGTTTCATATTGCCTCATTTTAGCATCCAACCCCTCCTGGTGTCTGCTCTGTGCTCTTACCACATAGTCAGTTCGGCTTTCTAGAAACAGCATGTGATGTACTTTATTAAAGTGCCTGAGTCTGAGGATGAAACTGCTAAATGATGACACTGCCGTTTTTCCTTTTTTCTCTCTCCTATGTAGCCTTTCACATATCCCGAAGTGTCTGTCTACAACCAATATTAAAGGTTTCAACGCCCCTATTCCTTGAATAAAGACTAACATAATATCATCCCAAAGTGTTATTGAGGACAGTGACAGTTACCAGGCGTTAACTGCGCATCTGTGGCCTCCCCAGATACCACTTTGCCATGTTGCAAAGGGATCAGAAAGGCTTGGGTTGGCAAAGTTAAAGGCCATCAGAAGGGAATGGATTTGTATCTACAGATTATAATTTCACCAATTCTTTTATTTCTAGGTTGCTGAGGTCAGATGGCTATGGTATCCCAAGTAACTCATTTTTTTTCTCAATTCCCATCTTGGAGAAAATACCTCATCACCCTCTTTGGGGCATCTCCATGTGCAAGGCATGGGTACCCTTACAGTTCCACATGGTTAGGGAAGCCTCACAATTATGGTAGAAGGCAAGGAGGAGCAAGTCACATCTTACGTGGATGGCAGCAGGCAAAAAGAGAGAGCTTGTGCAGGGAAACTGCCCCTTATAAAATGTCAGATCTCCTGAGACTTATTCCCTATCATGAGAGCAGCATGGGAAAGACCTGCAACCATGATTCAGTTACCTCCCGCCAGGTCCCTCCCACAACACATGTTGAATTCAAGATGAGATTTGGGTGGGGACACAGCCAAACCCTATCAGACCTTGTCCTATTAATTCTTCTGTAAATATTTCAGTAACCATCAGTATTTTCTTCCCCTATGTTGTGACACTCTAGGAAAAGAAGAAGGAACCTAGTGCATGCCCAGTTCCCAACTGTGTGTTCAGGCCTATATAGGTGCAAGAATTCTTGTCATCTTCACTGTTCACATGAAATCATGGAGGTTCAGAGTGATTGATTGGCATGCCCAATGTAACTCAGATTGTAGAATATGGAAAATGATATTCTCATCCAGGTGTACCTGATCTCCAAGTCTTTGTACCTTTCACTATGCCAAGATCCATGCTCTTTCCTTCTTGTTCCCTTCTTCCTTGAACCATTTCACGGAAACCAGGCAGCAAAAACAAATTAGATGATGACAGTGATTCCTACAATGCTCAGTGAGTTTTACAGTTTGATTTAGACCCAGATGCTGAAACAGAATGTTATCCTCAATATCAATGTGTCATCCCCATCAGAAAGCACAGGAGCTTTCTGAGATTCCCTCACATTGGTGGTGAATCATCTGATTATCTGGAATTTGGGTGGCATGCCAGATAGAGAAGTTGATTCTCCTGAAAACAAGTGTATGGTTCTAAGGGAGGAGAACAAGCAAGGGGAATTCCTTAGAGAAGAATTAAGTTTTCAGCATGAGAAAGTCCAGTGAAGAATTCTAGAACCTGAGGCAGAAGTTAAGGACCGCTTATGAGAACCAGAGTGCTGGAAAGAGGCTAGGAGTGACTATGGGTCATAAACCTGTGAGGAGTGTGGAAAGGTGAAAGGCATTACTGGCTTATCCTTACTGGTGTTGAGTAGCTGAGTCATGACTGGGTGCCAGGAACATGACCATGGGCTGGTTGGTAGGGCATACTGACATACTGTTTTGCTTCATTTTCCTTCTTCTGGTTAGTGAAAGCTTGTAAAATATCTTTCTGGGACTTCCAGGCTAAGCAAGATAGGATCTTTGGCTTCGTGGATCCTGGTCTTTGCCAGACAAGAACAAACCTTCCTCCTTGGATTGACACTATGTCCTTAACTGATTTACCAAAGAGACCTTGACACATTATTTCTCTGGTAAATATTTCAGTAACTATCAGTGTTTTCTCGGGATCTTTCCCTACATCCCTTCTCTAGCAGTATCCATTGCCTGCCTGCCTTCTTCATTACTTCCTCCAGGCATGCTGAACATCTTGGAGCACACTGTGCTTTTCGGATGTGCTGTTACTTTGCATGGAATCCTGCAGCACTTTCCTTTCTTATTACGGCAGCCTCACCAAAGGATTGAGTCCAGCCGTCCATCCTCTCCCTGAACTGAATCCCCCTGAGGAGTATATGTTCCTCATCTGGGCTCCTTTAACTCCCTGTTTCCCATTACAAAATCATACCTAAGCAATCTTTTGGTCAATTATAATAATAGATAAATATGGCGTGCTTACTATGTACCAGGCATTGTGCTAAGAGACTTATATGCATTACTCATTGAATCCCTGTGACAGCTTTGTAGTGGGTACATTCTTATCCCTACTTCGTAAATGAGGAAGCTGAGCTCACATTAGTCAGTGAGCTTCCCCAAAGCCCATAGCTCCCACCTGATAAAACTGATGCCCAGTCCTCTGTAAGAAGACTTACAGAGTGGAATGGAAATGAAGTGGGGATTTGGCCTGCAGCTAATCCAACCTCTCTCTGCTTGCAGAAGCTGACTGGGGACGTGGGCAGGCCTGACGTGATGAGCTCAGCCAGCAGAGACATTCCATTCCAAGAGAGGTCTGCGTGACTCATCCGGGAGGCCACCTCTGCAAGACCACCCCACGGTTGGTGGAAGGGGTGACAGCTGCATTCTCCTGTGCCTACCACGTAACCAAAAATGAAGGAGAACTACTGTTTACAAGCCGCCCTGGTGTGCCTGGGCATGCTGTGCCACAGCCAGGCCTTTGCCTCGGAGCGGCGGGGCCACCTGCGGCCCTCCTTCCATGGGCACCATGAGAAGGGCAAGGAGGGGCAGGTGCTACAGCGCTCCAAGCGTGGCTGGGTCTGGAACCAGTTCTTCGTGATAGAGGAGTACACTGGGCCTGACCCCGTACTTGTGGGCAGGGTAAGGATGCTTTCCTTCAATCCCCAGCTCTCCATCCTACTACTGGAATAGACATCTGTGTCCAGAAAGAAACAAAAGGCCCCAGGCATCTAGGAGAGAAAACACCAATGGCCTGAACAGCCAGTAAAACTCCCCAAACATTATGCATAATATGTCCTTCCAGATGTTTTTTTTTTAAATTAATAGACTTACCCATGTTGAGAATACTTCTTAGGTTTTTCCATTTAGTTTTGTGGAGTTACATCATAAAACTCCATTTTAAATTTATCATTATTCTTTAGATATGGGGTCTCTCTCTGATGCCCAGACGGACATGTGGTAGTGTGATCATAGCTTTCAAACTCCTGGGCTCAAGGGATCCTTCTCCTTTAGCCTCCTGAATATCTGGGATTACATGCTCATGAAACCTGGCTAATTTTCATTTTATTTTATTTTTTGTAGAGACAAGATCTTGCTACATTGCCCGGTTGGTCTCAAACTCCTGACCTCGAGCGATCCTCCCTCATCAGCCTCCCAAAGTATTGGGATTACAGGTCTGAGCCACCACATCAGGCTCAAACTCCACTCTAAATGGCTGCTTAGTAGCCCATTAAATGGACATAGCCATAAATTATTTAACCATTTTCCAACTGGAGGCATTTCTCTGACCAAACCCTAACCCCAACTTGAATGCCCCTCCGTTAGACCCTTTATCATAGCTTTCCTTTTTGTATTCAATGTATCTACTTATGAATCTGTCTGCTTCATTAGACTTCAAGCTACTTTTTGTCAGGGACAGTGTCTTCCTTGTGTACTTAGGTCCTGATGCTAGACCCAGAGATGAATGATTATGTATCAGAAAGTTGGTGTGATTTTATCCCTGTTTCCACAGGAATGGTAAAACCCAGTGAGATATGGCTTCAGATTCCAGGCTCTGTGGTCTCTGTGTGTTCATTCCAGAAAAGTGCAAGTGTAGAAAGAGAGTCCAAAATACAAATTCGAGAGTGTTTGGAAAATTACCTACCCACTAGAATTTGTAGTAAAATATACAGTTATCTTTCAGATGATAGTGACATTAAAACTACAAAAAGATAGGTGTAGCCAGCACAGTGGCTCACACCTGTAATCCCAGCACTTTGGGAGGCTGAGGCAGGTAGATCACTGGAAATCAGGAGTTCAAAACCAGCCTGGTCAGCATGGTGAAACCTCATCTCTACTAAAAATACAAATATTAGCCAGGTGTGGTGGCAGATGCCTATAATCCTGACCACTGCAGAGGTTGAGGCAAGAGAATCACTGGAACCCAGGAGGTGGAGGTTGCAGTAAGCTGAGACGTACTGCTGCACTCTAGCCTGGGAAACAGTAAGGCTTCATCTCAATGAATAAATAATAAACAAACAAATAAATATAATAAAAAAGATGATTATCTATGTCATTTCATATTAACAATATTAATAGTGTTATTTGTTTCTAAAGTCATTTTCTTATTTTTGTTAAAGTATTTTTTATTATTTCAGTATAAATTATTATCATGAGATAAAGGCCTCCATCTCAAAAAAAAATTAAAAGAAAAAAATGGATGCTTAGATACCTAAGAACTAAAATCCTGCCATGTGCAGCTGCTGTGCTAGGCAAAATGTAAACTAGATGAAGATAGCTCCTGCCCTCAGAGAGGTCTAATGGAAAAGAGACAGGTACCTAAGCAATTAAAAAAAGAGATAAAAGGAAATGAATAGTTGGATCGTGAGGAAATTCAATGTAAATGATTGTGAACTTACATGGTAATATTTGGGAGGGATGTCAAAGGAAGGTTGCAAAGAGAACATGGTAATGACTGTCATCTAAAAGATGAACAAGAATTATCCAGGGAAAGGGCAAAGGGAAAGAGAGTAGGTATGGGGGTTTCTGAACAGTACTGATTTCTACAAAGTTATCTTAATTGTTCTTTTACATGAGAACAGCACTGCATATTCACATAATTGACCTATTTGAAGGAACTTCATGTTAGAATCTCAATTCCAAATATTGTGTAAGTTTGGAAAAATTCTTCTTGAAGAGATGCACCAAGGAATTTCATTCGTTTTTATCCCAAATGGAAAGATGTGAAAGTCGATGTGAGAAATGGAAACGGAAATCATTGGCATATGGAATTCCCTAAGTAGAGGGGATGGGCTGTATGCCCAGAGAGGAAAAAGAGATCTCAGCCACGGCAAGGAATGTGGAGCTTGAATGATGTGAAGGGCTGTTCATGAATCATTCCGAGATATGAATAGAACCTTCTGCCTTGGGGACTTTCTCAATGGGAAGCAGTGTGTGTGTTCAGGATGGGGGTTGCAGAAGAAACAGGATCTGGAGAGTCATTTCAGCATTTCTGTGGAGCAAGCAATTGCCATGCCTCCTAGAAGAAAATATAGGGGTAAAAAAGAGGGAAAAGGAGAATTCTAGTATCATTCATGCTGTGTGACTTTCAAAAGCTAAGCACATGAGAATGAAGCTGATGTCGGGTTGGCTAGGGGAAAGATAAAGAGGTTGGTCCTGTGGATCTTTCTTTGAAATGTGCTGAGACAGTTCCCTAGAAATAGGAGGGATGAAGTAGATGGTTTGTTTCCTAACAACCTTTGATTTGATGACATTCAAGGCTGAATGCTCAGGATGCCCTGAAAAAGTGAAATTTGGCAAACCATGGACTTTAAAATTTCTTGGAGAAATACAGCCTGTGTCACGCTGTGCTATGCAGAGAGGGAAGCCATTTGTCTCTGGAGTTAGGAATTGGCTGTGTATGCCTCAGTAACTGGATCCCTTGATAGCACTGAATGGCTTCCGAAACTCGTGTGTGTGTGTGTGTGTGTGTGTGTGTGTGTGTGTGTGTAGTCTAGTAAGTATTCGTGTCAGTTGTATAAATCATCTTTGTTAGAGACAAAAAAGGGAAGTTATATCCAACTTTCCAACCTGAAAACAAAGTAGGGAAATAATAGGAAATATTTTAGGGTTTTAGTTATTTGGCTGATCATGGAATAGATCTGTTTAATTTTCAAGAAACTTGCCAAATTCATAAGTAACGTATGAAGGCCTCTAAAAAGAGTCAGTGTCTGGATATGCCCATTAAAGTAAGCATTTCATTTACATTTTCTTTTTCTCAATTGCTCATCTTTGCCCTTAAGTTTGCCAGGTCTGCAGCAGGGTAAACAGAGCAACAAACATAAGCCTCCCCTAGAATTGGGGTGGGGCAGGAACTTTGCCTTCATTAAGGAAACTTGAACGAAGACTGGGGCAATTCTGTTCATCCGTCATAGGGCATCAGACAGCTTTGTATTTTACCCTCCAATGGACTTATTCATCAGAAATGTGTTAGCCATAATTTCATGACAATGCATAACTTGTTATGAATAACGAATTCTGCAGGAAAGTATGTTTATTTATCCCCTGAGAAACAGAGGGGACCAAAAACAAAATGGTTTTTGTAATTTGTACCTACAGGTAACCCCTTGAGCTGAAATAATTAAGGTTTCACTGAAGCACTGCAAATCAATTAGATGTCTTTGGGGAAATTGAAACAATATAAAAAAATTTAAAGTCAATGTATTCAATCTTCCTTTATAAGCAAGGTCTCTAGGCCTCAGTCTCATAATAATAATCATGAGGTAAGTTCTCTAGGCCTTAGTCTCATAGTAATAATTTAAATTGAAATAATAAAAAACTTTAATTTTAACAAAAATATAAAAATGGCATTGGTAATAAATACTATTAATATTGTTAATATTAAATGGCATTGATAGTCATTATATTTTTTATTTTATTCTTTGAGACAGAGCCTCACTGTCTCCCAGGCTGGAGTGCAGTGGCAAGATCTTGGCTTGCTACAACCTCCACCTCCTGGGTTCAATGGTTTCTCCTGCCTCAGCCTCCTGAGTAGCTGGGATTACAGGCACACCCTACGACGCCTGGTTAGTTTTTGTATTTTTGGTAAAGATGGGGTTTCACCATGTTGGTCAGACTAGTCTTGAACCCCTGACCTCAAGTGATCTGCCTGTCTCAGCCTCACAAAGTGCTGGGATTACAGGCTTGAGCCAATGTTCCCGGTCTCTCTCTCTTTTTTTTTTTTCTTTTCTTTTTTTTTTGACAGAATTTCACTCTTGTTGTCCAGGCTGGGGTGCAGTGGTGCAATCTCAGCTCACCACAACCTTGCCTCCAGGGTTCAATGGATTCTCCTGCCTCAGCCTCTTGAGTAGCTGGGATTACAGGCATGTGCCACCATGCTCAGCTAATTTTCTTTTTTATTTTTAGTAGAGACGGGTTTCACAATCTTGGCCAGGTAGGCAGATCACCTGAGGTCAGGCATTCGAGACCAGCCTGGCCAACATGGTGAAACCCTGTCTCTACTAAAAATACAAAAATGAGCTGGGCGTGGTAGCATGTACCTGTAATCCCAGCTACTTGGGAAGCTGATTTAGGAGAAATTGCTTAAACATGGGAGGTGGAGGCTGTAGTGAGCCAAGATCATGCCGTTGTACTCCAGCCTGGATGACAGAGTGAGACTCTACTTCAACAAAATACCCCAGAACAACAACAACAAAAAATTAAAAAGATAATCGACTCCATACAGTGGATGAGGAAGATCTACGGTTGTAAATGTGGAATGGTCATCTGAATTTATTGTTAGAGGAAAATGACGAGGTGAAGAATGATATGCATACTCTGGAACTTTATTGCAAAACAATAAACTAGAGCATATTTATCTGTGTAGATTTTCTTGCATATGCATAGAATAAAATATCTCTTGTAGGAGTCACAAGAAACCGGTAACAGTGATAGTCTCTGAGCACAAAAAAAAAAAAGGAGTGGGAAAGAACTGAGAGGAAGACTTACTTATTGCATAAATGTTTGCTTATATGTTTTTAAATAAACATATATTTATTTCAAACTAATGACAGATATGTTTAGGTATTTATATTTTGTATCTGTGCTTATACATGGAGAGAGGTGAAGGGAGAGCTTGAATCTTAGAATTAAAAAAAAATATATATATATGTATATATATACATACATACATATATTTGCACTCTGGCTTCACTGTTCTGCAGTGTGGCCTTGGCCAAGGCTATGATCTTCTCTGAGGTTGCCTTTCTTCTGTTGTAAAATGAGGACGAACATCTCCCTCTCATGACGTGTGTGTGTGCCCCAGATTGTTGCAATCGCTTGTAAGCAAGTTTCTATGCCACCACTGCATTCCTCACAGAATCGCAAATCTCAATTTCTCTTTTTTCCAGCTTCATTCGGATATTGACTCTGGTGATGGGAACATTAAATACATTCTCTCAGGTGAAGGAGCTGGAACCATTTTTGTGATTGATGATAAATCAGGGAACATTCATGCCACCAAGAAGTTGGATCGAGAAGAGAGAGCCCAGTACACATTGATGGCTCAGGCAGTGGACAGGGACACCAACCGGCCACTGGAGCCACCGTCAGAATTCATTGTCAAGGTCCAGGACATTAACGACAACCCTCCGGAGTTCCTGCATGAGACCTATCACGCCAACGTGCCTGAGAGGTCCAATGTGGGTGCGTACAGTGGGGGAGACCTGCTCTGCTTCCAAGCCTGCTGTCTCTCTGGCGGGTGGGCTGAAGTCCCTACTCCCAAATCAGGAAGTCGAGCTCCTTCTGGATCTTCTATGGCAAAATAACAAAACGAACACATATTCTTATGTTCCTCTGTAAAATGGGAATAACAATTTCTGGTCTTGCAGGAATAGAGATAACAGACATCCAGTCACTAGGGCATACTGATGATGTCTAATAGGTAATGACAATTGTCGTGTTTGTTGCATGTAGGCACTGTGCTAATTAATAATGACTTACATGCACTATTTTATTTAGTTTTTGCAATGATTAATCTTTACCATGAGGTAATTCCAACCCACCATATTTCTCAGATAAGAAACGACACCAGAAACAAGATAACTAATTTCTGTAGGGACATTTAAGCTATTAAATGGATCTAGAATACACATTTAAGCACAGCAGTATGTCACCGTGTATTCAGAAGTAGGTATAGCTTTTCAACACGATTGAAGACACATTAATTTGCTAAAGGATAATTTTTCTGAAGGATTTCTTTAAAGATGTAGCCACTTTCTGGCAGTAAATTTCTTTATATCATGCACATAATGAAACATTTATATAATGTTTCTTTTGAGAAACATTCCTCATATTAAGAAAGGTTTGTCATTCAGACAGAGAGTAGAACTGTTCTAATCTGGGAGTAAATCTGCTTAAAATAGATTTAGAGCTCAAATGAATTTGGGATCATTTTACAAATAAGAAAATCCAGCACCAATATAGGAATCGACTTACTTAAGAAAGGTAGATGTGACTCTAGAACCCCAAGATCCTTTCACTGTGCATACTGAGCTTTTCATGCCAGAAAATGGTGTATTCCTTCTTCACCATGAAAAGTCAAGTACTTATCAAAAGCCAGCCCGAACCGTTTTCCACCTTCATCTGTTCCATTTTCCCTGCCCAGTCCTTCAGCTTCTTGATGTTTAGCATGTGTATTATAATGAGAAACAACAAATATCAAATGAATCCATTCAGAGGAGACAGCAATGTCAGCCACTGAGTGGCAGGCGAAGGGATGGGGTGGAAAGGCAAGTCATCAAAATATATAATCCAGGGAAATTTTTATTATTCTCACCTTGGCGGGCTCATTGATGTTTAGGGCTAAACATTCATGCTTTTTTTTTTTTTTTTTTTTTTTTTTTTTTTATGGAGACTTTCTCTGTTGCCAGCCTAGAGTGCAGTGGCAGGATATCGGCTCACTACAATCTCCACCTCCTGGGTTCAAATGATTTTTCTGCCTCAGCCTCCCAAGTAGATGGGACCACAGATGCACAGCACCACGCCCAGCTAATTTTTGTATTTTTAGTAGAGACGGGTTTCAACATGTTGGCCAGGATGGTCTCGATCTCTTGACTTCATGATCTGCCCACCTTGGCCTCTGAAAGTGCTGGGATTACAGGCTTGAGTCAGCGCACCTGACCCATTTTTTTTTTTTTAAGTTTCGATTTGTATTTTAGATTCGGGGGTATATGTGCAGGTTTATTTATTTATTTAAATATTTTATTTTATTTTAAGACAGAGTCACCCAGCCTCTGTCACCCAGGCTAGAGTACAGTGACACCATCTCCGCTCACTGCAACCCCTATCTCCCAGGTTCAAGCAATGCTCTTGCCTCAGCCTCCCAAGTAGTTGGGATTACAGGCACATGCCACCATGCCTGGCAAATTTTTTGTGTGTTTTTCCTACACAGAGGGTTTCACCAGGTTGGCCAGGCTGGTGTTGAACTCTTGACCTCAAGTGATCTGCCCACCTCAGCCTTTCAAAGTTCTGGGATCACAGATGTGAGCCACCATGCCTGGCCCAAGCACTGGTTTATTGCATGAATATACCGTGTAACACTGAGGTTTTTGCTATGAATGATCCTGTCACTCAGGTAGTGAGCAGAGTACCCAATAGATTTCAGCACTTGCCCTCTTGCCCCACTCTAGTAATCCCATGTTTATTATTCCCACTAGGTAAACATTCGGTCCATTTATACCCAATGCTTAGCCTCCAGGTATAAAAGAAAGCATGTGGAATTTGGTTTTCCGTTCCTATGTTAATTTGCTGGGGATAATGACCTCCAGCTGCATCTGTGTTGCTACAAAGGCGTGATATTGTTCATGCCACCATGCATAGTATTCTGTGATATATATGTATCCCATATTGTTTATCCAATCCACTGTTGATGGGTACCTCAGTTGACTCCATGTCTTAGCTATTGTGAATAGTGCTGCAATAAACATACAAGTGCAGGTGTTTTCCTTGCAGAACAATTTATTTGCCTTTGGGTCTATAAGGAATAATGGGATTGCTGGGTTGAACTGTAACTCTCTTGTTTGTTTTCCTGAGACAGAGCCTCACTCTGTCTCCTAGGGTGGAATGCAGTGGAATGGCGTGATCTTGGCTCACAACAATCTTTGCCTCTTGAGTTCAAGTGATTCTCCTGTCTCAGCCTCTCACTTAGCTGGGGTTACAGGCACCTACCACCAGGCCTGGCTAATTTTTTTGTATTTTTAGTACACACAGGGTTTTGCTGTATTGGCCAGGCTGATCTGTAACTCCTGATTTCAGGTGATCCACCCTCCTTGGCTTCCAAAGTGCTAGGATTATAGGCATGAGCCACCGCACCCCTTGAATTGTAACTCGGTTTTATTTGAGACTTCCCAAAATTGTTTTTCACAGTGAACTAATGTACATTACAACCAACAGTCTATATGTATTTCCTTTTCTCCGCAGCCCCACCAGCATGTTCTTTTTTGCCTTTTTAATCACAGCTATTCTAATCAGTGTGAGATGGTATCTCATTATGAGTTTCACTTACATTTCTCTGATGTTTAGTGAAGACCAATTTTTTTTTATTTTTTTGAGACGGAGTTTCGCTCTTGTTACCCAGGCTGGAGTGCAATGGTGCGATCTCGGCTCACTGCAACCTCCGCCTCCTGGGTTCAGGCAATTCTCCTGCCTCAGCCTCCTGAGTAGCTGGGATTACAGGCACGCGCCACCATGCCCAGCTAATTTTTCGTATTTTTAGTAGAGACGGGGTTTCACCACGTTGACCAGGATGGTCTCGATCTCTTGACCTAGTGATTCACCAGCCTCGGCCTCCCAAAGTGCTGGAATTACAGGCATGAGCCACCGCTCCCGGCTCCAATTTTTTTTGTTTGTTAGCTATTTGCATATCTTCTTGTGATAAGTGTCCATTCATGTCTTTTGCTTACTTTTTAATGACATTATTTGTTTTTTCACTTGTTGAGTTGTTTAAATTCCTTATAGATTCTGGATACTAGACTTGGTTGGATGTGTAGTTTGTGAATATTTTCTCCCATTCTGTAGGTTGTCTCTTTACTCTTTTTATAGTTTCCTTTGTTGTGTAGAAGCTCTTCGGTGTAATTAGGTCCTACTTGTCAACTTCCATATTTTTTGAAATTTCTTTTGAGAACCTAGTCATAAATTATCTCCCAAAGCCAATGTCCAAAATGGTGTTTCCTAGGTTTTTCATAAGATTTTTATAGTTTGAGGCCTTACATTTAAATCTTTAATTCATCTTGAATTAATTTTTCTATATTGGGAAAGGTAGGGGTCAAGTTTCATTCTTCTGCATAAGGCGAGCCAGCTACCCCAGCATTATTTATTGATTAAGGAATACTTTCCTTATTGCTTAATTTTGTCAACTTTGTTAATGATCAGATGGCTGTACATATGTGGCTTTATTTCTGGGCTCCCTATTCTATTCCATTAGTCTATGTGTCTGTTTTTGTATCAGCACCATGCAGTTTTGGTTACTGCAGACTTGAAGTATAGTTTGAAGTTGGGTAAGGTGATGCCTCCAATTTTGTTATTTTTGCTTAGGATTCTTTTGACTACTCAGGCTCTTTTTTTGTTCCATATATGTTTTAGAACAATTTTTTTTCTAATTCTGTGAAAAATGATATTGGCAGTTTGAAAGAAATAGCATTGAATCTGTAGATTGCTTTGAGCAGTGTAGCCACTTTAATGATATAGAATGGGAAAACATGCTATGCTCATAGGTTGAAAGAATCAATATCATTGAAAAGATCAATATTCTATTTGTTTGTGTCATCTATGATTTCTTTCAGCAGTGTTTTGAAATTCTCCTTGTAGAGATCGTTCACCTCCTTGGTTAGAAGTATTCCTAGATATTTTATTGCTTTGTGGCTATTGTGAATGGCACTGTACTCTTGATTTGGCCCTCAGCTTGAGTGTTATTGGTACATAGGAATGTTGTTGATTTTCGTACCTCGATTCTGTATTCTGAAGCTTTACTGAAGTTGTTGATCAGTTCTAGGAGCCTTTTGGCAGAGCCTTTAGAGTCTTCTAGGTATAGAGTCATATCATTATTGAAGATATGATATTTTCCTATTTAGATGCCTTTTATTTCTTTCTCTTGCCTGATTGCTTTTGTGAGGACTTCCAGTACTATGTTAAATAGGACTGGTGAGAATGGGCATCCTTGTCTTATTCTTGCTCAAAAAAGAAATGCTTTCAGCTTTTGCCCATTCAGTGTGATGTGGGATGTGGTGTCATGGATGGCTCTTATTATTTTGAGCACTCATATATTGTATTATGGTATATGACAGTACAGTCTTTATTGTCAGACAGTACTACGAAGTATGGCTGTACTCCTAATCAGCCATGTGAACCCAGGCAGCCCATTGTACCTTTCTAAGTTTTTATTTTGCCATCTATAAAATGAGAATAATATAAACTATGTTGAGGGTTAAATAAGATAGATGTGAAATACAAAAGTGTTGTAAAGGATGTAGCAGAGTTCTAGAAGGAAATTAAGCATTAAAAATTAATGATTTCCCTAGTCACGCCATGAAGGCATTTTCTTTTATAAATCTGCCCTGCCTAGAATAGCGACTGTCAAATGGACTGTCAAATCCTCCAAAGAGGATTTTTATTCTATGAAATAATGAATTATAGAAGAGTAACTAGGAAAAAGTGAGATGTACACCACACAAAAATCACTGGCAACCTTATAAATTAAAGGTAGGGAGAGGCTGTGTAAACTGGCTCTCTTGCCTCACACATACAACCTTGCCCGTCTCCTCTGCTGAAAAGGTTACAGAAAGAACTTGAGTTTTGCTGCATGCTGGATCAGGGTCAGACTCTGGCAATTACCAACTTTGTGAAATAGATTACTAAGCTTCATATCTCTCATACTCAATTTCTCACAAATACAGTGGATGTAAAAAATGCCCAGCAGAGTAATGCTGGTAAAATACATGGAATGTGCCCCGAGACCATGCTGGCACAGAGAAATTTGATAATTGCTGGTGTTCTTCTTCCAGCTCCTTTCTCCCCACCCTGAAGCCCAACATGTCATGCCCTAAATACTTGCTATTTGTGACCAGCCAGGAACAAAGGTTGTTTTTAGAAAAATCAGAACCCTATCTTTCTTCAATTTCCTGGTTTCCCTTCAATCTGACCCATGAAAGCTCCCCTTACCTCTCACCAGATGTCTACTGGCTACCAGACCAGCTACAGGTGGGAAGATGCAATTTTCATGCCAGTAGGGAACAACATTCTGCTCAATATTTATGGCCATAAATTAATTAAATCGTAGTATTAGCAGCAATTTTATTACATGGAAAGCAACACTAAAATGATATATTTATCATTCTGCTACAGGTGGAAGATTGCACTCTGTCCTTTCATAAAAAGCAATTTATTGTTAATTATCATTTATTATACTCTTTGGGAAGATTTTAATGTAATTATTTGATATAATGAACATTTGAAGTGCATGAGTTTTAAGATATTTTTGCAATAATGTTTATAATATTATTTTAATTACCAACCAATGAAGGATATACTATATATACAGAAAGTTCATTTTTAGACTGTGGGCATTTTTCTAGAAAAGGAAGGAAGGGAGGAAGGTTGGTTGTTTTGTATCTCAACTCCAGGAAAATGAGAGCATGTTGAATAATTGTACTGCCCTCTTAAATAAGACTTTGTAAACAAGAACATAATTTGAAAAGCTGAGGGGATGTTGCTAATTAATTTATTTCATTTTTAAGGAACGTCAGTAATCCAGGTGACAGCTTCAGATGCAGATGACCCCACCTACGGAAATAGTGCCAAATTAGTGTATAGTATCCTCGAAGGACAACCCTATTTTTCTGTGGAAGCACAGACAGGTACTGTGGAATGTCACTGTGATTTGTGACTCATGGTGAATAGGAGGTCCCGGGCATGATAAAGTAAACCTATTTATTTCTCTGTTTTCTCAAATATAAAAAAGGAATCAAGAGGGGCTACCTTACAGGGTTAATGTGAGGATTAGACTCTTGGCCTGTGCCTGGCATATAGTTAGCATACCATGAAACATTTATTATTGTTTTTCCCATATTTCATGATGACCAAAAACAAATATCATCTTTAAATTCAACTTTAATGTCAGAAGGAGGAGAACAATAAGGACTAAGGCTTCCACAATGCTCTCTATATTTCTCACATAAATGTTGTCATATCTACAGAGAGAAAAAGCTTCCAAATGTCTCCTAAAGATTTAAGTGAGCATGCCAGTCACGGGTCAATATCCAGCAATCATGTAGAATTCCGTTATTATCCTTGTTTTCACTGACAGGTGATAATGGACAGTATGTGCTTGTATAAGCATTGTACATATTTTAACCCATTGGTCCATCCTTTTAAAAATTAACATTTACATTTTAATGTATTGTGGGAAATATGAACCTCTTACTTTAAACTTAATATGCACCATCAAAACATTTCTATGAATTGTATGCAGCAATAGACTTACAAAAGATTGTGCTGGAAGTCAAAAAATATGAGTTTAGTCATGGGTATCCATGTAATTGCCACACAAATATTTCAGTCTTTAGGGTATTTATATCTGAGAAGAATAAGGCTATTATTTGCATGTACAACAAAACATAAATACAAGTGCTGTATAGTAATTTTTATGATTTACTTGAAAAGACATAATGATGCTTCAGTGTGGCTGCCTTTGGTCATAATTATGTTGAAATGATTCTTGCTGAAGGCATGGGCTATTTTATTCAGCATCGCTTCCTCAGTGTTCAGAACTTTCTTGTTGTCATAATGTTGTTAAAAACAAGTATCTGTGATGTTTTCTGCTCACCTGTCCAGGTATCATCAGAACGGCCCCACATAATGTTGTTATAAACAAATATCTGTGATGTTTTCTGCTCACCTGTCCAGGTATCATCAGAACGGCCCTACCCAACATGGACAGGGAGGCCAAGGAGGAGTACCATGTGGTGATACAGGCCAAGGACATGGGTGGACACATGGGCGGACTCTCAGGGACAACCAAAGTCACGATCACACTGACCGATGTCAATGATAACCCACCAAAGTTTCCGCAGAGTAAGTAGGTGGGCTTAGCTTTCACTTTTCCATGGTGCCACAGCCAGCTCTCCGCCTCCTCTAACCCATTCCTGCTTTACTCAGTATCAAAAGGAAAATCTAGAAAACTAGAGGCAATGCATGTCATTCTTACAAAAACAAAACAGAAGAACAAGATGACAAAAACAACAAAAATGTCTGTGGAGGAGAGGTAGTAGGAGAAAGGAAAGATGTGAAAAGTTCTACAACCCTGGAAACAAAGTATTATTTTTGCTAAGTTTTTTTGCTAGGTACTAGTGATGCAATCTAGTGATTAATTAACCTTTTTCTGTATCAGTGTCCTCATTTCTAACCTAGATATAACAGTACCTGAATCAGTTCTCAATTGCTATGTAACAAATTCCTGGAAAACTTAGTGTTTTAAAACAGTAATAATAATAATTTATTTTTATCATGAGTCTGCAATTTGGGCAAGGCTTGGAGGAAATAGCATGTCTCTGTTCCCCACAGCATCGGCTGGGACAGCTTCACTGGGGTTGGAGGATCCACTTCCAAAAGAGCTTACTTGCATGGCTGGCAAGCTTGTGTTGATTGCTGCTTCCTTTCTGCGTGGGCTGGTTTCTGAAAGTGTGATCCCTAAGGACACCAGGCAGAAACTGTGTTGCCTTTTGTTGACTAGCTTCAGAAGTCAATCACATCGTTTCCACTGGGGTCATAAGGCTGCACAGATCTAAGTGGAGTTCATGTAGACCCCACCTTTCAATGGAAGACCTGTCAAAGTCATGTTGAAGCAAAAGCATGTGAGATGGGGGATATTGTTTTGGCCATGTTTTGGAAAATGCAATCTCCCATAGTACTTAATTCATAGAATTACTGTTTGTACTGAAGGAGCTAGTGTAGAATTTTATAATGACAACTGGCTATATGTTGTCAACAAATTCTAGCCATTGTTACCTAGAGGATTATGGCTGTTTACAAAATTTATAAAATTGCTGAGGGAATTAAATTTAAAAAATGATTTTGAAAGGTTATTAATAACTGTAATTATAGCAACTATTAGCATTTAATGATAGTCGCTACTATTGTAGATCTCTGCAAGAGCCTATATTTTACAGATGAAACTTGCTTCTGTGAAAAGTGCATAAGATGCCCTAGAGATGTGGCAAAGTCAGAGTTTGAACAAAAGTCTGTCCATGTACGTATAGATGTATATGAAAGGACAGTATGACTGTGGTGCTGTTGGTGCATGGCAGGAGTGGGTCATCATGAAAGTGTCTTTTTCAATTAGAGACTATGAGCTTACTATCAGAGAGCTGGAATTTTTTGCAAATGAGATAACAAGAAAGGCAACTAAATGTGGCCACAGAAAGGCACTGTGGTTACTCAAAGGAATTAAAAGAAAAGAATCAACCAAGACTGCTTTGCCTGGCCAGGCACGAGTTCAGCATCCTCAATAAGCCCGAGGCTCATATAACATTCTAAAACTGCATGCTCCATTATCCACTCTGTACGATTGTCTGGTGTGCTAGAAAAGAAAGGTCAAGCAGAATTATTAGCAGGCAGCCTTTACTGCCCTTGGTCATAGACAATCATATAGTAAAGTTGCATTGCTACTATACTGGTTGTCTTGGTTTCACTGCCATGAACTTGAATGAGATTTGGAGAAAATCCACATAAGACAGTTTTTATTTTCCAAAACCTTCAGAGTAATTGGTAATTGTCTACAAGGGACTCCCACTTCTTACTCATCCTTTAATATAGAGGGTGTGGTGAGATTAAAAAATATGAGTCCAAAAGAAAGTTTCAAAGCAAAGTACTATTGGTAAATATTGACAAAGCATTGGAACTGATGAAATCTCTGTAAGGGGAAATTAAAATATAATGAGCTAAAGTAACTTGTCCAAGACCACTTTGGTTGGAAGTGATAGAGGCAAGATTTTCAACCCTGGCTTCTCTATATTGTGTCTTACACAGAGCATTAGATATGAAAAGCAAATAAGATAATGGTGAATCTTAACTCCTTACTGAAAACCTGCCAGTGATTTCCCTAAGTTAAAACAAAACCTGAAGTCTTTTCCACTCCCACAATGATCTGTTTTACACAATTTGGCCTCCACTTCCCTACATGCCCTTATCTCTCACCGGAAGGCTATAGCCACTCTCCTCCTCTTATTCCTCTGCAGGTATCCAGGATCTTCTCATCTTGGAGTTTTTGTCATTTGCTAATCACCTGGCCTGTAGTTTTTATACTGCGGATACTCACATAATTGTCTTGCTCAGTCTTTTTAGATTCCATTTTCTAAAGAATGTCTTCTCCTACCACACTACTGAAAACCAGTCTCTCTTTCTGCTTCTCACCCACACATACTTAACACAAGTACGTGCATTCAATCATGCTCATACACATACAAAAATTCACACAAGTAGCTCACACTTTCATACACTCACACTCCTGCACAACATCTTCATACTCACACAGTTACAGCCACTCACACATTTACACCTTCACCCTCACACGCAATCATGCACTTACACACACAACCACATACTCATTCTCTCAGAATCTTAACCCTTTTACTCTATTTTGTTTTCCTTTTTCATTGCAATGACATCAGAATGTGTTTACATTTGTTTTTATATTTTCTTTTTAGTCTGCCTCATTGAGAGGAATCCTGACTGTTTTGTTTAGTAGTAAACAAAACAACTAAATAAAACAGTGTCCTGACACTAGGACAGTACCTCCATGTGCAGCATTAGGTTCCCAGTAAACATTAAATAAATATATAGAAGGGTCACACTGCTGGAAAGCTTTCTGGAGAAGGTAACACCTGACCAAGTTGTAAAGGAGATGAAAAAAGGGAAGTGTCCAGTTAGAGTTAGTAGAGTTAGATAGGGAATGATGTTAAAGATAAAGTTTGCATTTTTAAAGTAAATATGGAGCTGTTGAAGGACAGCTTTTAAACAGAGAATTTTTTTTTTTCTGGGTACTTGGCAATACCATAAATGAGCCTTGGAATTAGTTCATGGACCATTCTGAAGACATGAAAAGAAGCCTCAGCTGTTTTAATAGATGAAGACATGTTTCCTGTTCTCCATTACCTGATGGGAAATATAACAGAGCATTGTTTTCCTCCCTTACATGTGTCAGGTGACCCCAGCATTTCACCTGGACCCGGGTATTGTTTTATCATCCTTTGCAGAACACATCCTTTTGACAAGCCGGCCATATGGGATCTTCCTTCCCACATCCATTCACTTCTTTCATGTTTTCAATCAATGGAAAGTTCCATTTCAGATCCTTTGAGAAATGTAGTAAGATTCAATGAAATCTATAGTCTTACCAGCTGCCAAATAAAAGGGAAAATAAAAACAGATGTCTTCTTCTTCTAGGTGTATACCAGATGTCTGTGTCAGAAGCAAGCGTCCCCGGGGAGGAGGTGGGAAGAGTGAAAGCTAAAGACCCAGACATTGGAGAAAATGGCTTAGTCACATACAGTATTGTTGATGGAGATGGTATGGAATTGTTTGAAATCACAACGGACTATGAAACACAGGAGGGCGTGATAAAGCTGAAAAAGGTGAGTTAGGGTAAGGAATCAGACGTGTCAGTGGTATGGCCAGCTCTGCCAAAGCAACAGTGCAAGAAACAGGGAGGCAATGGTTAAAAAAATCAGAATTTGTGAAACTGGGGGATAACCCAACTTTGTAGTTGAGCCCCAAGCTCTGGAAGATCACGGAATTGTGATCTTTCTGTTACTGCAGAGAAACTGACAAAAGGGCTTGGTGATACCTGCCTGAGATTTCTAATTAGTTCTTAAATATTTTCCCATGGAGAGAAGGACAATGAGGTAATCTAGATTTTGAAGTAGCCCTGAGCATGCATGGAATTCCTCTCCCCCAACCCCCACCACCCTTTAACCCTGCCAAGCTGGATCTGTTAAGTAGGCTGTTCAGAACTTTTCCTGTTTCAACATCCAAGGTTCACTGCATTGCTGGACCCTCTGTGAAACTTAAGCCAATTCTCTGCTGGTTTTTATCTCAAGTGACTCTGGAGAAGCAACAATGATGGACCTCCCCCCATAGTCAGTCATTAAAAACATGTCTCTGGGATTAATTCATTACACAGAGAAGTCTAGTGTTTCTTCTTTTTTATGTTTACTCAGAACTAACTACTGGCCAGACATAGCACCAGCCTCTTATAAACATCATTTTATTTACTTTTCACACACACAAAATAATCATACAAAGTAGGTGGCATTGTCCCAATGGGCAAAGAGACTTCCACTTAATTTTGAGGAGATGCGGGCTCAGACAGATGAAATCGTTTGGCCCAGTCACTGTCACACAGCTCAGGCATGCAGACCTAGAATTCAGACCTGGGTTATTCTAGAACATCTTCCCTCTCAGGACATTTTGAAAACAGCTGGGATAGAAAGCGTTTGTAAAAAGAACCAGATAAGATTCACTTCCAAGTGAAGAAATAGTTCCGGTACCTTCTAACATGGTTTCTCCCCGTGATTTACCACTTGAGAAATCAACACCTCTCCATCATTAGAGTATATGGAGCATTAAATAGAAATTGGAGGATGGGATTACCTTAGTTTTAATCAAGCATTCATTTTCAACTTGGTTTTGTAGCATGAATATTAAACTCCTTGGTGTGATGGAAAAGATTGGACTGTAACACTGATAGAAAATTAATTTGAAAAATCAATAAAGAGGCCAGTAGCTAAAGAGGCACCAAGGACCAGTGGGGGAAGACTTGTTCTGAAAGGAATCTTTCAGGTGGTGAGCAAGGAGTGACCTGTGCTAAGAAGCTGACCTTTCACAACATTTTAAAGTATGTTGGAGTTGGGGAAAATATTATGGGGCACAAACCAAAGAGAAGGTAGGGGGTGACTCTGTTATAAGAAAAATAAAGAAAATTTGGATACTTGGAAAAGTCTACATTAGTGGAAGGATGGCAGGACTAAGGAAACCTAATTATCAACCACAGGGAGCTAGGGTAGTCACTCATTCAGGTTTCTCCTCTGGAAAAGTAGCTGTGCGAATTGTGTGTTGCCTAGAGCTGTCAGCTTACTTCGTTAATTAATATTACTATCTCTTCTGCTTGACACTGACATATGAACATTGACATCAGCGATTCCTGCCTCCCATCCTTTGCTGTTTCCGTAATTGGGTAGTTGGTTATGCTAAGGTTGTCACCTGTTTTCAGTGTATTCAGGACATAAACACACACTTTATTTCTGAAATCTTGAAACGTTTAAGTCACCCCAATGGAACTTACACACTGCAAATGAGCTCTCTGCATGTGATTAATTTGCACATTTCTCCCCAATTCAGTGTGTTTATTCTAGGCAAAAAAATACTCTTTAAAGCACTGACGTTTAGGTTTTAAACAGTGCAAGATGTTGTTTCATTTGTAAAAGAACATTTGCTTAAACTTGTAGCACAAAGTTCCAAATGTCCACCAAGGGAAAAGAAAAGAAAAATTAGAGATGGATTTCACAGAGTAAAAATATGACTCCTGTGAAAGTCATTCTATGCAATTCAGTGCCATAAAAGTCGACAGAGATATTATAGCAATATTTTTGCATTTTAAAGCTTTTTTTTAACTTAGTATTTTTGTTTATTTCTAACTCATTCACCCATTTTTCCTCCAAGAGTTACTGAGTTCTTATTATTTGTCAGGCAGGCCCTTTGCCAGAGACTGGAAATCTAAAGTTGAAGAGATTGAGTCCTGACCACAGGGAGTTCACAAGTTAACAGGACAGTGAAGTGAAACAATAATTAAAACCAAGAGGGTTTTCTCAGCCTTGGCAGTGTTGATGTCTTGGGCTGGATAATTCTTTGTTGCAGGAGGTTGTTCTGTGTATTGTAGGATATTTGGTAGGATTCTAGGCTTCCCCTCACTAGAGATCAGTAAGCACATGCTCTACCCACCCCCAACAGTCCTGATAATAGTAATAAAAAATAATTACTCTAGACATTGTCTAATATCCCTGGATTAAATGGAAGCAAAATCACTCCCCAGTTGAAAATGGACTGTAATAGTATGATAAGACCTATGAACAGGGGTCATGAATGACTTCTTAGGGGGCGGTTCTCAAGCTGAGTCTTGATAGATGAGGAGAAATTTGCTGGATAGTTAAGGACAGAAAAGTCAGGAAATAAATAGCTCATGAAAGGCTAGTATCAATGGAAACAGGACACATTTAAGAAACTTCAATCTTGAGTCTTAAGATAGATACAGTAAAATCAATGGACAAAATTGTTAAAATTCAAGGGCAATATTCCAAAGAACTGAAGAAGGTAGAAGGGGCAGTGAGATGGTAATGAAGGAGAATTCAAGAAATAATTACTAGATAGAGTCACTCATTTATTGAGTATTTTAGAAAACAAATACTTCTTGAGTTCTGACTCTGTGTCTTAGTTTAATGGTGGACAGGGGAGAGAGAAACTACCCTTGGGGTATTTACCCTTAGCTCTCCCTTGGGTTAGCTGAGGAAGAGCCAGGTTTTAGAATGAGAATACTTGGGCACAGGGAAGGGCACAACACTCACTGGGCTAGGTGTGGTGGGGGGTGGAGAGGAGGGGAGCGGAGGGATAGTGAGGGTGGAGGGGAAAGGGCAGGAAGGATGCAGAGGGATAACACCTGGAGAAATGCCTGATGTAGGCGACGGAGCTCGGGGGGACGGAAACAGCAAACCATCACGGCATGTATGTACCTATGCAACAATCCTGCAGGATGCAGAATGTGCACATGTACCCCAGAGCCCAAAGTACAATAAAATAAATAAGTAAATAAATAAATAAAACTTAAATTAAACTAAAGTGAGGTTTTAGGGGGCTTGGTGGGCTTCGAGAGGAAAATCCAATCTGTTCACCCAGCACCGTTGACTAAATGGGAGTCCTATCTCTCTCAGAGAAAGCAGTGTCTGAGCCATTTATTTTCAACCAAATAAACTCCCTGGAAAGCAGTGTGAGAGCAGAATTATAAGGCATTTTTAATATTCCCTATTTTAATAAAACTTGTTTTATGTCTGATTTTTCTTTATACTCTTTGTCCGCATGTATATAGATGTGGATACATCACATTTAACACGGTTGCAATCAGAGGGTGATCTGATTTGTTAACTTAATGTCACATCATAAACATTTTACATGCTGTTATATAATATATGTAATCATTTTTAATGGCAACGTAACACCCCATCCTATTGACAAATCATTATTTCCTTAATAAAATCTCACAGTTGGATTTGGTGTTTTGTGTGTACATTTCCACAGTTTAGATATAACCTTCTATTGTATCTAACACATATCATGCATTTTTGAATATTGTTTGTTTTGGTTTTCTGTTGAATTAATCCCTCAGGGAAGATTTTCAGAGGTGGGATTAGTAAACTAGGGGGTTATTAAGATTTTTATGGATTATGCAATGTGTTGCCTCATTTAGCTTTATTTCAACTACTCATAACATGGTCATAAATGTTCACGGGAAACTGCCTCACATCTTTTTTGGAGGGAGGAAGAGAAGGAATTGTAGGCAAATGTCTAAATGTCATGCATCTATCAGCCCTACTCCAGTCAAAATGATGGATGCATATTATCACTTGGTACAGTCATTCTTGCATACTGTGGGACAAAGATCAGCAAAGAGCAGTAAGACTCTATAGACTGCTTAGGGATGCTCTTTATCTCACTCCATCCCTGCCTCACTGGAGAGGGAAACGAGGGGCTGCCAGCAGGCCACTAGGAGACCACACAAATCTACCTGGGGCTGTTGAGGAGGACTTCACGAGGCATTGAGTCTTGAACTGACTACCAGACTTGGAATCTTGCCAAACTGGGAAAACCCATCCCACACAAACCTTTGCAAAGACCTGGAGAGCCTAGCTTGGGATGTGAAATGTATCAGCCAGACTGCAGCATGAGGATAGTATCCTCAACACCAACAGGGCTTTCCATGGGAAAATGGCTCCAGGTCCTTAGGCATATGCCTAAACCAAGTACAAAAGATTCTGCTGTACCAACATCAACAGAATATCTGTTATTAGAAATTTTCTACTTTTCTGATTATAAATTACCCAGTCTCAGAACCAGCATACTCCAGTGTTTGATGCCATCTAAGAATTGAAGGGATATTTGAAAAGTTGCAGCAATCTTGAATGTTTGGCCTATAAATATCATTTATTTTTCACTGCTCTGTAACCTAGCCAAGAACAGCTGGGTCCCGGGCTGATGGAAAAGCTGGGGGCAGATTTAGATTTAGGAAAGGTGATGTTTTCTGACTCTGGGAAGATGGAGGTGGGAAGATGATGGAAAAAGTGTCAAGGATATCCAAAGTGTTTAACCCTGTTGAAACTGCTATCAGCCTTAGAGTACTGCAAAATTAGGTCAGGAATAAGCCCCATAACTACATGTCCATTCAGAATAAGTTTACCGGGCAAATGACAACAGCATGGCAGGCAGATGCTCACCTTAAGGGATGAAACTCTTTCCAAACATTTGGTAGTTCAGCAACATCCAGAGCACTAATGAGAAAGTTGTTTTTTCTTTCCTTCCTTCCTTCCTTCCTTCCTTCCTTCCTTCCTTCCTTCCTTCCTTCCTTCCTTCCTTCCTTCCCTCCCTCCCTCTTTCTTTCTTTCTTTCTTTTCCTTTTTTTTCTTTTCTTTCTTTTTTTTTTTTTTTTGAGTTGGAGTTTCGCTCTTGTTACCCAGGCTGGAGTGCAATGGCACGATCTCCGCTCACCGCAACCTCCGCCTCCTGGGTTCAGGCAATTCTCCTGCCTCAGCCTCCTGAGTAGCTGGGATTACAGGCATGCGCCACCATGCCCAGCTAATTTTTTGTATTTTTAGTAGAGACGGGGTTTCACCATGTTGACCAGGATGGTCTCGATCTCTTGACCTCGTGATCCACCCACCTCGGCCTCCCAAAGTGCTGGGATTACAGGCTTGAGCCACCGCGCCAGGCTGCGAAAGTTGTTTCCTAGGCACCAGGGCTTGTTTCTCTGCTACAATGTTACTTTCCACCCTTTGCTGACTGATTCACTGTAACTCCTCTCATTCAGAATTAGGGAATGTTTGCCATCAATTTTTCTTTAACTACAGCCATTCAAATATTACTACTCACTTTTTTTCTTTCATATCTGTGTAAAATTTTGCTGCTTACATTTGTTTTTCTTTAAATAGACCATCTTTAATATATATGCGTTCTTTTTTTTTTAAAAAAAGGAAGCATTTCTCTCATTATCTTGTCACTTGCCAAAAATAGAAGGTAACTTAAAAATAAATGCAATCAAACCAAAACGATGCCATTACATTCTAGCTAGAGTTGTAATAATCTCTCACAAAAGAGATTGCGAAGCAGAGCAGATATGTTAAAGTGGAGGCGTTCTACTTGGTGTGTTAAGGATTTAAAGACTTGGAAAATAAATAATTATCTCAATAGGTAAGTTAATGTCATTTGACAACCTCACCTATCAAAATTACCTATAAACCACCCTAATTCATCTTCTGGGCCACTGCTGCTAAGAGTCCCAGACAGTGGGCAACACAATGTACTCAGAAAGTTTAAACATGAAGCTTTCCATCTGATCAAGCTGCATGGTTGGGTTTGGGAGAGAGGTATCAGGCAATCAACAAACAAGACATGCTTTTTGGCTGAAATTCAGTGGGTATTTTTGTTACCAAGATACTTAATACTTTCACAATGAGCTACCACATGTACTTTTGTAGCATTTTAATTCCCTTCCTTAGATAATTCTTAGTGACTGATTTGGGCAACATTAGTGTTGCTACATAGAATAACGTTCATTTTAGATGACGTGGTCTTTCTGTATCTGTCATGCTCTTAGAATGACCCACTAAGCACATTCTAAGTTTCAGCAGTTGATTTGTCTGATTTTCTGACCAAATGGCTCAGGTAATTTGATATTGAATAGATTTTGATTTTCTCTCTTTGAGGAACGATTCACTCTGCCCTATAAAACAATCAGGTCTTTCTCTTCCGTTATTCTTTCAAGGAATTGGTTGTCAATCTTCTCTTCATTCTTGCCAGCCTGTAGATTTTGAAACCAAAAGAGCCTATAGCTTGAAGGTAGAGGCAGCCAATATGCACATCGACCAGAAGTTTATCAGCAATGGGCCTTTCAAGGACACTGTGACTGTCAAGATTGCAGTGGAAGATGCTGACGAGCCCCCTATGTTCTTGGCCCCAAGTTACATCCACGAAGTCCAAGAAAATGCAGCTGCCGGCACCGTGGTTGGGAGAGTGCATGCCAAAGACCCTGATGCTGCCAACAGCCAGATAAGGTACAGAAGGATTTATTTTAAGGGAATGGATGGGGAATTTTAGAGTCAAGAGGTTCTGGGAAAGCCCTGTAGGAACCACGTTCTTCAGTTTCAAAAAGAGGCCATGCGTATTCAGGTTCAACAGAATGTAAACAAGATTAAGATTTGGAAGACATGAGCTTCGCTTGACCTCAGTTCCTGACTTTTTGAATAGGATTGTTCAGGCTACATGACTTTTCTCTGGAGCAGATTTTATCAGGCATACTAGGTGATATACCTCTGAGCCGGGCCTGTCTGTCTCAGGGGACTGTGGTGAAGTATAAATAATGATTGTGAAATAATTAGAGTAATTGCAATTTGTTGACTACCTTCCCATCATCCAGTTACTCTATGAAGAGGTTAGATATGTAATCTAATCTATCCCCTCAGTGTAATTGATGCATGAATTGTTATCCCTTAAAATGAGAGGACGTTGGAGGCACTGCAAGACAAAATGACTTGCCTGGAATGACACAACCACTGAGCAGGAAGCAAGGAAAACCAGCTCTGTCTAACTGTTGCTGAGTACATTGTGAAAGTAACAGTGTTCAAATAAATTCCAGGTGCCGTTCTTATTATGAATGTGTGTGTGTGTGTGTGTGTGTGTGTGTGTGTGTGTGTGTGACCAAAAAAAGTGATCCAGAACTGTGGCCAGCACAGTGGCTTCCCAAATTAATCCCAGCACTTTGGGAAGGCAAAGGTGGGTAGATCACCTGAGGTCAGGAGTTCAAGCCCAGCCTTGACAACATAGTGAAATCCTGTCTTTACTAAAAATATGAAAATTAGCTGGGAATGGTGACACATACCTGTAATTCCAGCTCCTTGGGAATCTGGGGCAGGAGAATTGCTTGAATCTGGGAAATTGAGGTTGCAGTGAGAGTTGAGATCAAGCCACTGCATTATAGCCTGGGTGACAGAGTGAGATCCTATCTCAAAAAACAAACAACAAAAACAAAAACAAACAAACAAAAAAAAGAAAGAAAGAAAAAGAAAAAAAGGAAAAGTGATCCAGAACTCTGCTCCTCCACTCATGAGAAGGTGATGAGAAGGAGGCTGAGAAGGGGTTGAATCACAGATTCAACACATTTTTTTTTTTGAGACGGAGTCTCGCACTGTCACCCAGGCTGTAATGCAGTGGCGTGATCTCGGCTCACTGCAGTCTCCACTTCCTAGGTTCAAGCAATTCTCCTGAGGAGCTGGGATTACAGGAGCATGCCACCACACCCAGCTAATCTTTTTGAATAGAGAGGGTTTTTGCCATATTGTCCACACTGGTCTCAAATTCCTGGCCTGTAGTGATCCACTCGCCTCTGCCTTCAAAAGTGCTGGGATCATAGACATTAGCCATTGCCCCTGGCCTGAGCATCTCTTTATGTGCTTATTAACCATTTGTATATCTTCATGGGAGAAATATCTATTCAAATATTTTGCCCATTTCATAATTGGATTATTTATCTTTTTGTTGTTGAGCTGTAAGAGTTCTTTATGTATTCTGAATGGTAGGGCCTTATCAGATATATGATTTTCAAATATTTTTTTTTCTCATTCTATGAGATATCTTTTCAGTTTTTTAACAGTGTCTTTTGAGGTGTAAAAGGTTTTGATTTTGATGAGTTCCAACGTATCTATTTTTTTAAATGTCTATAATGAAATAATTGTCTAAGGTCATGATGATTTACACGTTAAGCTTTATGGTTTTATCTTTCACATTTAAATTTTTTTGATCAATTTTGAGTATACTTTTATATATGGTCTCAGGAAGGGGTCCAACTGTATTATTTTGCAATGCATATCCAGTTATTCCAGCACTATTTGTTGAAAAGACTATTCTTTCTTAATTGAATGGTCTTGGCATTAATGTTGGAAATTGATGATGGTCATAGAATCCAGGTTGGTTTCTGTACTCTTGATTACATTCCACTGATTATATGTCTGTCCATTCGGCAGTATCACATAGTCTTCATCACCATAGCTTTGTAATATGTTTTGAGATGAGGAACTGTGAGTTCTTCATCTTTTTCCCCACCACCTATTTTTGTAGATAATGTAATGTAGGAGGACAGTCACACCATTTGTTTGCATATTACCTATGTCTCCTTTCCTGCTACAAGGGCACAGAGATTCTAATTTCTGCATGAGCTAAAACATGTGCTGGCTAGCCCTTTGCAGAACATGTTTGCTGGCCCCTGTTCTAGCTCATCACTACACCTACCACTAAACAGAGTACATGGCCCAAAGTCAATATCTAACAAATATTTATTGAACAAATAAGTAAAATAACTCCTGATTTGGCTTAGAACGTCAAGCTCACAGTTTCTGAGTGTAAAACAGGAAGCGTAATAGAAGTGATGACATCTTATTCACATATGTATTTGACAAATCTTCATTGATTTGTCAAATACACTGGGGGTTCCCAGTGTACTGAGAGGGAGGCAGACACTTATTAAAAAGTAAGTGGATCGAAGTATGAAAAGTAATTACATGGACTATGGAGTTTGTCCACTTCTATCAAAGAAAACAGTGGCAGGGAAGAAACAATTCCCAACTATAAGTGTTGTTGTGCTGCTTTTGGATCTTCGAACATTGATTCTTCTGAGGAAAAGAGATAATTCACATTTACTGAACGTCTTCTCAGCCTCATACAACAGGTTTTACAAAGTTATTTCAGTCAGTTCTCACCGACATCCTTTGTGGCTATGACTGCTCTTGAATTGAATAGGTGGGAAGACTGAGGCTCGGAGCAATGGTGGGACTATTTTAAAGTCACACGGACAGTCAGTGTTGAACATTGGATTTTAACCCAGATCTGTCTTGAGTTCATTCTGAGATTTTTACTTTAACCCAGCAGCCTCTAATGGAAAGATTTCCCAAGAAGGTTTGATTACTGTATTCTCTCTGTGCAGAAAGATACATTACATAATGACTATGGACTCTTCTAACACCATCTAGACTACTCAAAAATGTTCATGGTATGAATTTTAACTGAGTTATCTTTGGCCTAGAATATCGAGGTGCATAAGAAACTTTTTAGAAGAGCAGTGACTGTGATGTAGAAACACTCACTCATTTCCTCTGCACCTCATTGTCTCCAAGGATTCACATCTGCAATTGATTATTTGGGTCATGTTTACTTCATGCCTATATGTGGCTCTTCTTCACATGTAGGCAATTTCCATGTCTATAATTATCCAAGGATGCTCAATATCACACTTGAACCAACCCCCCACTCCCACCTACTTGGGTCTTTGTTCTTTAGGAATGCCAGACAAATTATAAGAGAATAGTCAAAGCTTTCTGTTTGTTTGTCTTTGAGACAGGCTTTCAGTCTGTCAAACAGCCTGGAGTGCAGTGGCATCATCACGGCTTGCTACAGACTTGAGCTCCCTGGGCTCAGGTGATCCTCCCACATCAGCCTCCCAAGTAACTGGGACTACACATGCATGCCACCATGCCTGCCTAATTTTGTTTTTGTTTTTGTAGAGAAGGGGTCTTACTATGTTGCTCGTGCTGGTCTCAAACTCCTGGGCTTAAGTGATCCTCCTGGCTCAGCCTCCCAGTATGCCGGGATTTCAAGCATGGCACGGGATTTTTTTCTGATGGGTCTTTTATTCTCCCTACCTAATTTCCTGGTTGCTTCTCTTCACCTTTGAGGAAATTTGTGTCCTTGGACGTATAATAGAGGCCTTGAAATATCACCCTAACTCAGCGTCTTGGAAATTCCACAGATTTTTTTTCTTAGACTGTAGCATTAGATACATTTTTGTTTATGATTTTCTTTCTAAAATATTCTCTCCCTTTAGTTTTCTTGGCACTACTCTCTTATGCCTCTGATAACACTGTACCTGGTACCTGATGTCTTCACTAGTCTTTAATCCCTGTCCAGGCACTGACTTGGTCCTTTCTCTCTCTGTGTCCAACCACCTAATGGGCTTTTACCTATGCCATAATTGACCTCAGTTGCCGCTTCAGATTTCCTGCTCCTAGGCTGATCTTTCTTCCCGATTCTAATTCTGCATTTACAATATTGTCTGTTGTGCATTTTCACCCATTTGCTTTTTCTTTCACTGGCTCACTTATTTATCCAAGTCACATGTTTGATCTTATAATGATTGTGGCATACTTTAAAACAGAAACAGCTGTTTCCACCCTAACTTCCTGAAGCCTACAATTGAGTTGAGTCTTTGCTTTCTGAGCATTTTGACATATCCCTAATTAAATGCAAACCTTTCCCTCCTGGTAATCAACTTTTTTCTTTTTCTTTTTTATTGTTTTTAATTTTTTAAGTAATTTTAACTTTCGTTTTTGATTCAGAGGGTACATGTGTGGGCTTATTACATGGTTATATTGCGTAGTGCTGAGGCTGGAGGCATGATTGATCCTATCTCATTAAAGGGCATATATCCAAAGGAAAATCAATTTTATAAAAATTTATTTTACAGTATTTATCCAAAAGAAAATAAAAAGGCACAAGCACTCAAATGTTCATCACAGCACTATTCACAATAGCAAAGAATTTCTTTTTCAATGTCCTCAAATCTCCCTCTCTCAGACACTCAAGTGAGAAATGACCTGGGATTCTCTCAGCCTTCCCTAGATGTCCAAATATCCACTAAATCCTACTGGGGCTTTTGTCATCATCTAGGATTTCATTTCCTCTGTCACCCCTGTACTTCTCCCTCATCACCTCGGGTATTTAAAACAACATCGAATCCTTAAGTTTCCTCTGCTCTTTCTTCTACTCTATCTTGCTCAGACCATCTTGCCCTTCATATGGTACTGATCTCCTTGAGAGCTTGCTTCCATTTATTTGTTCCTCTGCTCAAAGCCTTCCATGATTTCTCTCTGGCTATGGAATGAAGGTCACACTCTTACAATAGAGAGCTTCCACAATCTATTCTCAGTGTGTAACAGCAGCATCAACAACAAAAATAATAGCAGTTACTGTTGGTTGCAATGCTTACTATGTGTGAATTACTGCATTATGTATCTTAAACATTTATTATTTTATTGAATTCTCACAGATAACATAAAAGTTAGGTACTATTAATATTCCAGTCTCGACACGTTCCTGCCATTCCAGCTACCCAGGAGGCTGAGGCAGGAGGATGACGTAGGCAGGAGTTCAAGACCAGCTGGGGTAAATAGTGAGATTCTATTAGAAAAAAAAAAAAATATATATATATATATATGCATTCTAAAAGATAGATATGCTAAGGTTCAAAGAACTTAAGTGGCTTTTCCAATATTATCCAGCTTATATGTAGCAGATCATGAATTTGTACCTAGCACTTCTAAAACCCCAAAACGTATGCCCCTCATTTCTATAGAATAATGTTTGAATTTGTAATAATCTTTCTTTCTATATGTATGTTGTCATGTCAACTAAATAGTGAGCTCCCTCATGGAAGGAGAAAAGTCTTAGATTATTTTTTTTATTCCTTTCCTCTCAGTGTTATCTGCTGAGGGCTCAGTTGCTGCGTCTCTCCTGACATTGATGAGAGAGTGAATATCTTTGGTTTGGTCACTGTGCAAGGGGACTCATCTCATTACATTCTTATGGGGACCTCTGAACTTAAGTGACATAATGAATGAGTCATGTTTGTATACTGTGAAGAGCCACTCGGTGTGGGTCCCTCCTTCCTGAGAAGAGCATGATATGGAATTAGAAGATCTGTGTTCCAATATTGTCTCTTCCAGAAACTAGACATAGGCCATTTGTAAATTTCATCTTTTGTAAATCTAGGTGATTAACCCTTCTGATATTCCTGGTCTCTGCTATCTCTAATAGTCTTGGCTTTTGACTATCACTGAATACCTTCTGACATACTCATTTGGTAAATTTTTGAAAATCGTAACTTAGACCTCTAAGAGCAGAAAACCACCCACTTATGAAGCTCAGTTTATTACCTGAATTAACATAACCAATTTTTGTTCTTTTCTATTTTGAAGTTAGTATAAGGGAGTGAAAAGGGAAAGGTCTTTGGAGCTCAACAGACCCATTAAAACAAGATTGTATTCTGGGCAAGTTATTTTGCAACTCAGTAAAACCATTCTTCCCCCATCTCCCACCTCACGTTGCCATAAATGCAGCCCAATAATATCAAGTGATTTTTTTGTTATTTATTAGTAAAAAGTTAATTTAGTGGATGGGAGCAGCTAAAACCTTCAAGCTCTGCTGTTATGTACAGGCTGGAGTCATTAAAACATGGGGGAAAATGCCCTACAAATAAATGGCCAAGCTTACTTTATACATTGCACACTGGAATTCAGATGCAAGCAAACTGAGTACCCCTAAAACCAAATAAACTAAACAGATTTACTGAAATATAGTCAATTTTTTCTTTTTTGAGACAGAGTCTCGCTCTGTCACCCAGGCTGGAGTGCAGTGGCATAATCTCACTCACTGCAGCCTCCACTTCCCGAGTTCAAGTGATTTTCATGCCTCAGCCTCTTGAGTAACTGGCATTATAGGGTGTGCCAACACTCCCAGCTAATTTTTGTATTTTTTAGCAGAGATGGGATATTGACATATTGGCCAAGCTGGTCTTGAACTCCTGGCCTCGAATGATCCACCCACCTCAGCCTCCCAAAGCATTGAGATTATAGGAGTGAGCCAGCGCACCAGGCTGCAGTTTTCTTTAAATAAAGACAACCGGATTTTTAGGTCTATACAGGATCTTGATAAGTTTTAGTACACTTGAAAATATTTAGTATTTCATATGCAAAAGTCTGGCAAGGGTTTGATACATATGTGACTTTCTGAGTAGTTTGGGAGCAAGGCAAACTCACTTCCCAGATGCAGTTTCATAAATATTCAGAGGATGGGTGATTGTAGTAAATATGGAGAAATATGCACCATGTTATTATACTTCTCAATCAAATATGCTAAATAACTCTTTCATTCATTGTACTGAATAAGGAATTCCAGTGTGGCAAAATTATTTCTATAAAAGATTCATGTATGAAGTTTCAAAAGTAAATTTGATTAGAAAGAAAATCTAGCTTAAGCAATTCATTGAGAAGCTTGCTTTAAATATAGCAAGGAGAAAATATTCAAATATTAAGCTGCTTCGAATGTCTTGGTCTAATTGCTTCATTTGCATTCTGCTTAGGTATTCCATCGATCGTCACACTGACCTCGACAGATTTTTCACTATTAATCCAGAGGATGGTTTTATTAAAACTACAAAACCTCTGGATAGAGAGGAAACAGCCTGGCTCAACATCACTGTCTTTGCAGCAGAAATCCGTAAGTTTTCTCCTCAGGGTTTTGATTTTACTTTGCCAAGTATTATTACTTCAGACTTTGTATTCTGGAAAATAAAATAGCTGAGATAGCCTAACTTGTTTGGCCTTAAACAGATTTTTCAGTCTTTTTTGGATATCTCTCTAGGAAGACACATAGACGAAGGGAGATGTTTTTGTTTTCTCTGACAGAACTGGTTATAGACTTGGCACGAGAGTTCATAGCTCTCAGGAGTTTGAAACTCATAACCATCACTGAAAGATTTCCCACTCCATCCAGTCACTAGTCTTTGCTGAACCCAGAAAAGCAAAGTGCTTAGGCCCAAAGTTTGGGGGTTCTTGTTTATGTATAGACAACAACTCAAACTTGATCATGCATCAAGTTGATCCATCATTAAGCCTGATTTCTGGACCGTGCCCCAGAATCCCGGATTCAGTAGGTCTGGGATAGAGTTCGAGAATTTTTGTTTCCAGCAAGTCCCCAGGTGGTTTTAATGCTTCTCTGTATACTCCCACATTTAAGAAGCGCTTTGTTAGATTACTCTCTGGGGAGAGGGTCCATAATAAGCCTTTAGAATTTAAGCTCAGCATCATAATCAGTAGACGTGGAAAAGTGGTCTAGTTCTTACTGATCTAACATTGACATTTATTCTAGGATATGCCTTTCCCACTGTAGTTAGTACCCTTCAGCTCCTACATAGATTCTGTGACAAGAACATCTTTCCCTGCACTGCCCAAATGGGTGGCTGGAGCTTACTCTTTTCCAAGAGTATGCTGGGACCAATGTGTATTTCTCCCTGACCTTTCTTGACTGTCTGCATTCTCTTTTCCCAGATAATCGGCATCAGGAAGCCAAAGTCCCAGTGGCCATTAGGGTTCTTGATGTCAATGATAATGCTCCCAAGTTTGCTGCCCCTTATGAAGGTTTCATCTGTGAGAGTGATCAGACCAAGCCACTTTCCAACCAGGTAATGCTGCTTTCCCTAACCTTGGCTAGGAGCAACACACTTGAAAATAGAGTATGTCTTTTAAAGCACCACCTAGAGACACCAACCACTGCCCAAAAAGGTTTCAGGGCCATGTTTTTGCTCTGAAGCTGTGTTCTCTAATTAAAATCAAGGTTTCTAGCCAGCCAGGAATTTTTGAATAAATGATGTGCCAATGTCAGCATGATTTATTTATGGGCCACCTTTCTCTTTCAGCCAATTGTTACAATTAGTGCAGATGACAAGGATGACACGGCCAATGGACCAAGATTTATCTTCAGCCTACCCCCTGAAATCATTCACAATCCAAATTTCACAGTCAGAGACAACCGAGGTTTGTACTAAGGTTCCTATGCATTCAGAGAAGCAGAACTGGAAAACAAATGGAGTTTACGTTGCATAGCACAAGTATTTTCGCTAATCTTTATAATGTCTTCCTGTTGAAGAACACACCAGAAATAATAATGCCGCCTCTGTTCTGAAACATGGGTTCATGTGATGCATGTGAATAAGTGAGTCTAATTTTATTTTGCTTTTTTTGGCTTTGATATTCATGAAGCAGTCGGAGAACTAAGTGGGGAAGCTTACAGGGTCAATATGCAAACAACTCCATTTATCTTTTTTTCCAAGAGGTTGATAAACCCTTGGGGGAAGATGGCTTTATGAATATTGATATCAAGTAAAGCATTAAAAGAGATTAGTTCAACTTTGTAAGGCAATTTAATCTTTTAGCTGGCCTTCCCTTCCAAGCATAGTTTTAATGCAGTGTGGCTGGGTACAGAGCTTGTTATCTAAAAGTAGTTGCAGAATGGTTGCCTGAAGGGCATGAAGCAGAGCATTGTTTGTCCATTATAAAAATGGCAAAATTTAATATGATTCCTGCTTCTCCTCTCATCAGTTAAGGAGGTTCCAGACTTGCAGATTATTAGAAATAGATGTTTTCATTTACGTAATCCCGGACCTGATGCAGTCCCTAGATAAAGTTGGTGGCAGAGCCAGCAACAATGAATATGTATGTATATTTCTTACTGTCAGGCAGACTGTTTTGCTCTGAGCATTACTTGGTAGTGAAATTGCCCATTTAAGTTTGTGATGGTGCAGGCCTGTGAAAACAGGGAAACAAATGCCATCATTTAACATGGGAGCAAAAAGGAGGAATAATGGTTGCTATATTCCTGCAATCCATGCTAGCCGTCTACTAGGCCATAGGTTGATTGCTCGCCCAGTGATTGAGAACAGGCTTAAAGCTTCCTAAACTTTCTAATAAATATTATTACTTTTCCCATTAGTGTTATCACTATCATCAGTACCATAAATACCAGTTGCTGTGTTCCATCACCCATGCCAAGATCCTTTCTACACTCTGTCCACTTCGCTTTTTTTAACAACATCTTAGGCAGGCATTATTATCACCCATATTCCACAGATGAGCAAAACGAGGCACAGAATCATTGAATAATTTGTTTCAAATCAATCAACCAAACAGAAGTTATGGCTGGGTTTAAACCTAGGCTCTCAGAGGCCGGATGCTATAGCCTTAACCACTGAATCCTTCTGCGTTGATTAAAGCAGACAGGTGCTCCCCATCCTGCTTGGGCTTTAAGAGTACATGATTTGATTTATTTTATTATTTCTTGAACTCGTGAATATTTAATCATGAGCCTTATAAATCAAGCACACATCAAATTAGATGATGGGGCAGAATACACTGGGTGTTGTGACAGCCTTTTCTCTCCCAATCCCTTTCTTTCTACAATGAACTTGCTCTTAAGAACTGAAGTGTGAAGGAAGTTATATGTAAAAAAAATGTATTTTTAAAGAAGCCTATGAAACAACTCCTGATTCACTTTGTAAATGATTCCCATCATTTTAAAACAGAAACGTTACTTGACGCTCTTTGATTTTGTATTTACACTAGGATTTTTCTTTCATCTTTTGGCTTTGGTGAATGTGCACTTGTAAGTCTCTGAAAGAGATAATTCTGCAAAGCACTAAGGTAAATGGATAGTTCTCAACAAGAAACACACCCAGACATGTAATATAGGAATTCATTTTGTAATGATAGTTTTTCTCGAGAACAGGGTAACTCAGGCACATAGTGAACATTTAAAAATGTGTACTGGCGAGAACAGGGTAACTCAGGCACATAGTGAACATTTAAAAATGTGTACTGAACTGCATTGAACAGGGTGGCACAAACAGTGTTTGCATAATGCTTTCTAAGATATGTATGCATCTGTACTTGAATTTATGAAAATCCCTATGTTTACTCTTGGAATTTTCTGCATTCTCAAATTTGTTTCCAGTTTCACCTTGAAGTCACAGACTGCTATATTTTTTCAGCTTAGGCTTATATAAGTTTTCTGACAAAGAAATGCTTGTAACAGTATATTGCATAATGGATTTAGTTTTAACACTAGTGAAGAGATTGATTCAGTTGTCCAGAAAACTCAGATGTTCTCATGTGCCTCTTAGCCACCATCTTTTGTCTAGCTTCTCAAATATTTGGGGTCAGTCATTCACCTGTGTTGATGCAATTCTCAACTTACATTGGAGATCTAATTGCTGGGGCTGTATTCCTAGAAATATTCCTGTTTATCATGGGACCCCTACAAAAAGGATCTTTACTAAACTTCCCCTGCTGTGATAACTGCCTCCATCACCTGCCTGTACATTTTCTTTTTATATATGCAATCATATTTAGTTGCTCTTAACCTCTGAAAACATTATACTAACACATATTGTTCTCCAGGGAGTTATAAGTATTTTACTTTGTCACAATACTTCGTGGATACTATCTATATTTCAGAGGTTATATAACCCTAGATAAGCACATCTGCTGAACAATTAATCTCCCGTCCTCTCTTATAAGAGACTGATACCACTGTTGAGCTACCATTTTTGCAGAAAATCGCTACTTTTTAAGAAAAATTACTTTGTTAACTATGGCAAACCGTTAATGAAAACTCCCATGTTTAAAGCTATTACAGAACCTTAAAGCAAATAAAGTCCTATAATTATCATTTAATAGAGTTTCTTTCTACTGGCTCCTAAAAGTAATTACATATTGAAGTAATCCAAAAGGAGTAATCACATTCCACATCCTATTAATAGCCTACTGAGTTACCAAATTTCTCAGCTGAGACTGCTTTCCATAGAAAACATGAGATAATGGTTTATATCATGCTGAGTAAAAGCATCAAGTTTCTTTCTCCTTGAGTGTTTACTTCCATTATGCCATGTAAGTAATCAGTATTGTGTTTGCCTAAACTCTGGCATAAGCGTTCGGCATTTTTAGGAATATAAGAGGAAAAGCCATCTTAATACACACAAGCCTTTTATTTCATTTTATCTTATTCCACTCCACAGCCCGAGCTTCAAAGCCGACTCAGCGGGCAGCAGGAAAGTACAACACTGGATGGTTCTTCAACATTTAAGTCCATCTTGGGCTATTAATATCAGGAATAGGGCTGTTTGGGTGGGTGAAGAGCTGACCTGCCCAGGGTTTGAGATGCATTTACTTTGAAAATATCAGGCATGTGGCATCTCTTAAATCACAAGAAATATGTAATGAATGAGAAAAGTGCAAAGAAAAAGTAAGACTGAGATAATATCTCTCCTCTAAGTAGCTCTTTACTGGTTTATAAAGCCTTCTCATGCCATTGATTCACCCAGTTCTTCAAGCAGCCACATAGGGCAGGCATATGTTATATTTTATCCAATTTTCAGATAAGGGAAGAATATGAGACATCAGAAGTATCGGTGATTTGCTCAAGGTCACACAGCAATAAGTACAAACACTAAATCTGAATATTTGGAGGACCCTGTCTGTTGCACATGGCACACAGTAAAACGAATATAAAGCTTGTGTCTCTTCTAAGTTAGTCATTTTCAAAAGTCTTTGTTTATCCCATTGTCAGATAACAATCCTCAGAAGAAGCACAATCTGAAATTTAATTTATGGATTAATGTAGGATTCTAGGGAATACGTGAACAGAGGAGGAAGAAGAACTTCAATTTTCACTTTAACCACAGCCATAGTAATTCTCGTAAAATACATTGGCAAAGAAGTTTATAATTTACTTCTGTTACATAATTAATACCTATTTCTTGTACGAAAATTGGAAAATACAAACCAGCAAAAATATATTAAAACAGTAAAAATAACTTGATAATAGACTACCCAGAAATAATCACTGCTATTTGTGTATCCTTTCTTCACATACATTTCTTTTTTTAAGAAAAGAAAAGAAAAGGAACAGCAATTGCAAAATACATGTCTACTTATTTTTTTCACTTTTCTCCCCACTTAGTGGCCATTTCCTAAATGTTATTTATGAAATATTTAGTCATGCCCAAATGCTTGGTAACACTGTCTTTGTTGTCTTCTACATTTTTTATGATTAGTTTTTTTTTTTTTTGACTTTCTATTCTACCCATTCTGTCTATTTACTCTGGTATCATATTTTTCTTAAATAGTTTTATACATATATGTGTTAAACCTGACAGATGCTTTATCTGCATTATTTTTATTACTATTTTACAAATCTTGCTTTTTTATTCCTTCAGATATAATATAGAATTATTTTTCAGGTGCCTGGCAAGTACGTTGGTGAATCTTATTGAGTTTATCTTAAATTTATGAATCAATTTAAGAAGAAATACAAATTTAAAAATATTCTTCCCATTCAAAACCATGGTCTGACTTTCCAGTGAATCAATTCTCCCTTTATGACCATCAGGAAGTCTTTGTAGTTTTTTTCATTTTTGTACCATGTATTTCTTATTAGGTTTATGGTTAGCTACTTTAGATTTTGGAAGGTATTATAAAGTAAATTTTAAATAATGATTTTTATTATTTTTCTGGATTTTGAGGTTTCAATTTAGTATTTTATGTGGTTCTATTTTATGTCCTTTTAAAGCATACCACTGTCACAATACTTCTGTTTTTTTTTTTCTTTTTACTTTTTAATGGGTTCCCCTAGAGTTTAAACTATACATTTACAATTAATCCAAGTCTGTTATCAAATAACACTGTATCATTTCACAGGTAGTACAAGTACCTTAAAATAAGAAATTAATTCTAATTTCTCCCTCCTGTTCCTTATATCATTGCTGTCACTTATTTCACTCATAAACAAGTGCGTGTGTGTGTGTTTCATGCACTGTATAACAAGGACAGCAGCAGATGACATATACAAAGATGGTCCAATAAGATTATAATTGAGGTGAAAAATTCCTGTCACCTAGTATTTACTATAACTACATTTTCAAACATTATTTGAGAGAGTACTCATTCTATTTATCAAAAATAAAGTTCACTTTGAAACAGCT